GCCATAAAAACAATAACAACATGTAAGCACAAGCAACAACAACAATGCGTGGGCCAGGGCTGCGCTGCCAAGCAACGACAACAAAACTAACAGTGCAAATTTATTGGCGTCGCTTCTTGCAGCTGTGTTGTTGTTTTTCGGCAAAAAAAAGGGCCGGCCAACGCAATGCACAAAACCAGAAAAAACCGGTATAACTTACATGAATTGAAGTTCAGCTTCTTATTCAACGAAAATGTAATCCAAATGTTGTTACTAAAATTGTAATTGAACACGCACTTAACACTTTAAAAGTTTGTTAAACTAAAAACAAAGAATAGCCTGCGCAGTATTAACAGTTACACTTTAATTTTTCACTGTTGGTGAGAGCTAATGAGCGCACTGCGTGACGTTTAAACGTACATGTATATGAAGCTAACGAACCGATCGACAAAACTCCAGCAACTGAGCGACAGCGGCAGCAACATCGGCTTTTTGTAGTCGCCGTTGCAAGGAAGTGCGAACAAAAGGAACATAAAAACAGCAAATGCAGCATTGTACGGGGGATGGATGATAAGTAATTGGTCTAAGTTAGAAAATGTATCTTTTGTAGTGCAAATCTATTATATAGAGGACAAATCTTCAAAATTGGAAATAATTATAATCTTATTCTGCCTTTGAGTTAATAAAAAATATAAAGCTGAAGGGGGCCAAATCTCGATATCGAAAAGTCTAAGAATAAACATGATCCAATTTGTTATTAATATTATTAGTGGATCATCAAGGATTACACACACACTCCTTCATTTCATTTTGAGAGCAATAAGCTGTTGCATAATGCTAATTAGAACATTTCGTTTAGTTGGATTTCTTTTCGGCCGCATACTTATTAGGGAGCCCTCGTATTGTTGTGTAGCTGTTTCTGTTTTGCAGGGAAGCTGCGCAGTATGCTTTGTTTACCACAAGCGCAAGCGAGAGCGCACGAAAGCGAGTGCGCAGCTGTCGATCGTTGCCAGGCGCGAGTAGTTAAAATTCAAATAAAATTTCAAACTCTAACGGTCTTTTCGCAACCGGTTTTGGAAGCGTCGCTGGAGGGCGCGCAATTGTGGCAGGTCGAAAAAATCTAATTCAATTGGTTTTTTGTATTCTGCAGCTTCGCCAATTTGTTTGTTTTGCTCGCTTTTTGCTTTTGTTTGTTACTCTCCGCATGAAATCATCGCGTAACGGCCTGTTTGCTTAGATTTATAAAGAGAGGCGTCAAACGTTTTTTTCGTTTATTTTTTAATGTTAGTTTGTGTGAATGGGTCCCAAGTGGCTCTTTAAGTTGAAGCAAATTATATATGTATATATAGATAAATTAATATGGTGATGACCTGAGCGCCCCCGCATAAATCAAAATGTGGCACAGTGGGTGAAGAATATAAAAAATGATTATTTTATTATGATGGTTATTTTCATTTCCCATAATTCCCATAATTCTTAAATTAAGATGTCGATCTGAGCCCACTGTGCAGTACAACTTGTTTATATGAGGCCTTTCCAAGCATAGCAGCTGTCTTTATATTCTTATCAGTTAGTCGCCTATTGATAGGCCATCCATCAATCACGGAAAACGAGTAGCAGACGAGTTTAAAGGGCCAGCAGGTCTGCATGGCCAGTGCAGTTATTAGATAATGGTTGCCCCTCACTTAAAACTGTCAATGGTCTGGCTGTGGCACTCTCTCATAGAGTCGAAGTAATTTGAATGTGCCCGAGAGTACAATGAACCTTTTGTTGTTACCATAATTACACTCGGCAAGTGAACAAAACAAAATTAACAAAAGTTAATAAGCGTCGCCCACACGGACTGAAAATAATAACAAAAATAAAACACTTCTCACCCACATTATTTGCTTTCATTTTATTAGCTGCGGCATAGAAAATTATGTCGTAGCACTCTGGCCTCGAGGTTGCTGCAGTTAAAGCCATGGAGCAGATAAATCAATTTCTTGCCATCGCTCAGAGATATTTAAAGTGAAATTTGACAAAATTGTTGCAAAACTTGTAGACGAGAAATTACGCGCCCAAGTGGCAGGCGAGCTAAACAAGTTCAAGTGCGTAGCCCCAGACAACGCACACTGGTAGAAAATGTCAGCTAAAGTAAGAAAAACATGTACTTCAATCACATTTTGGGTTAATTCGAAAATAATTCCACATCTACATTCCACATTTTTTGCATCCCATGCTCTAATTAGTCGCGTAGTATTAGTTAACATTTTTTTTAGTACTACTTCGGATTGCTTTCATTGCATAATAATATTAATAAGCTATAAAAATAATTCCTAAAAAACAATACAAATATTTGTGAAACTAAATTAAGAAGAAAATGGTGTAGATTTATTTTTAGATTATGTTAACTTAAAGATAAACTATTAAGGCAACACGTTTCTAGCCATGACTGCCAGGGTCTAGCCGTATTTGTATCAAAAATTATTTTGTATACATTAGATTTATTTTGGAATTGTACAATTAATACAATGTTTTCTAAAGAAGGTTTTGAAATAGGGCCACAAATACCTTAAATTTATTAATAATTTATTAATAAAAGTATTCAAAAAAGAGGATTACTTTAAAAAACATTTAGATGTAATAAGACAGATTAATTAATTGTATGTTATGTTTAAGAAAAAGTCTCTTTAGGTTATGGCAAACCATTTTCGTTTTGAGATTATCTGAGATTATAGAAATGCATGTATATACACAGCAATTTCCTCTCTCCTAGTTGGAACTCAGCCCGATGCTGAAGTACGGGACTAGTTTTACTCAGGATCTGCAGCGCTTTCCGGTTTGAGGGGATTGTTGCTTCAGTGAAGACACAAAACGTTGAACTAAATTGCGAAAATCTGAAAATATACTTGATACAGATAACTTTTCTATTTGAAAAACACTATTAAATACAATAAAATAAAATTTGTGAAAATTATACGAACGTAAAATATATTTTCCAATATACTTATTATAATAGTAGTTTGTCAATATTTATAAACATATGATAACTTGTTTGTTGTTTCGCGTCCACTGTGCGACAAATCAGTCGACGTTTTCACTAAAAGCCAGCGTTAAAAAGTGCGTTAAATCTTAATAGCATTTTCATAGTGCAGCGAAAATACGTCAATTTTTATTAATTTCCACGCACGCTGCCCGTTGGAGGGTGAGAAGAAATGGGGGAGAGGAGGATGGGCAGAGAGAGTGAGAGTGTAATAACAGAAGCTTCCCCGCAGGCAGTTAAAATTCAAATGAATTGCACATTATTGCTTCTTTTGTTCTGTCCAATAAGCTAAACAGTTGCGCATTTAACAAAAGCACAAAGCAAAGCGGCGCTTGAAACAAAGATCTCCGTCCGTCTGAGACATCCAGTGAGTCAGAGTGCGAAATTGTCAACCTGGAACCCGTTGCGCCATATATGGGAAGGCGTCTGTTCTGGCTCTTTTGTGATGCGAAGGCCGCCCACAATGGCAGGATGCCAAAGCAGGAAGCGTGAAGTGCAATTGAGGATTTGGGAGGACACTGAAATAGGAAAAAAATCGTCTACACACACTACATATAGTATGAGGAGAATCTGAGTATGTTGCTTACATTTTTAACATACATACATATGTATATAGAATTAGCATATTTTAAACTTATTTATAATAAAATCTCTGAAACGTACATGATTTGTGTATCGATCGGCATATATTGCGCGACAATTCAAGTGCCAGACAATAGTTCCAGCCCAACAACATTAATGTACTTCAATTATCTGTTCAATTGTCAGATCTCAACCCAATTGAGAATATGTGGTGCGGCGGAAGGAGAAAATTGCTTCTAAAAATCACAAATAGGTAACTGAGAAATAGTTTTTGGGGCACAGAAATGTTGAATGCAGATAAATACTTAGAATTAAGATATAAAGCGCCATCATCGCTCATTATTTTTAGTGATCTGCCTTAATGAGCCTGGATTCCCTATATATTATTAAACTGTCTTTCTGGCTGTGGTTGACTCCCAAAGTGAACTGTAAATGTTTATTTTTTTTAAATAATTTTTATTTCATCCGCAAAATTACTGTCTGACTCATTTGGATGTGAGTGAAAAAAAAAGCTCTAAGTATAACTGCCAGTAATTACCCGAATGGGATGAATATTACCGGATATTAGACATAAATACAGACACATGTGTATGTACAAGTATTCGGCGATTATTGGTTTTTTTTACAAATCCGCTAGTGTTCTTTGAATGTGATACGAGTATGTATGTGCATATATAGTTTTAAAATTGTACTCTAAGCCCTATTATAACTATTTGATTGAACAATCCTGCACATTAAAAAAGTATAAGAAGTTCACAAATACTGCAATTTTATTTTGTTAAATTTGTTAAATTCGATCGTTATTTACAAGTCTAACGAAATGTTTAAATTTTAAAAATTAAATATGTAATTAATTTATGTATTATAACTATTTGATGGAACAATATTGTCCATTAAAAGAGAATAAGAATTTGTAAAAGCCATTCTCACAAATACTGCAAATTCCAATTGCATTTTTGTTAAATTTGTAAAATCTGCCGTCTTTTTATTATTTACAAGTCCAAGGAAATGTTTAAATGTGAAAAAATAAAGTACCAGGCAGTCCCCAAAATGTAAAGCATTACTTCACACATTTAAAAGGTTTTCTTTTTCAGTCCTATCTTATAATAAGAAATAAATAAAGACCAAGCTCGTTAACAGTTTAGTATGCGATCTGCCCAATGCACTGTGTCAAAATAAAAACGATTTGTCAATTATTTTTTTATATCTGCTTCCCTTTTTTGCGCCTTCCATATTTAGTTAATGGCAAACATTTGCATATATATCTTAATATTTTCAAACCTACAACGGACTCTTAGTGTGACCGTTTGAGCAACCGGCTTTTTGGCCGCTGTTCCTACACACATATGTTTTTCGGCGCGTTTGAATGGCAATTTGTTGACGTTTGCTGTGAATGTCAAAATCTCGCCTAGTTTACGTGTACGTGGATTTTTATACTTTCACACACACGGCGAAAAGCGAGTAGGGAACTTAAACTAATTAGTTGTATAAATAGCAAACAATGTTTAACATTAGAAGTTATTAATTAGCGCCAGTGCCAGGGCTGCCAACAGGCAATAAATGTTGCCAGCCAAACTATAACAAATATAAAATAAATGACCAAGGTTGTTGTTTGTGCCGTTGTTGTTATTGTTGTTTCTGTACAGAAGAGCTGATAAAAGTTGTCCACAACAAAAGTAGCTGCTACTGCTGCTCAATCGATTCGTAACTTCACACATTAATTATTAACAATGGCGCCCACACGAAGGCCAAGCGACGGACTGTTGGCTCGCGTCAATTTTCCACTCTACGCCGTGGACATGCTGACCAGTCGGCACATATTGGTCGCGGGAGGCGGCGGCTCAAGCAAAACGGGCGTTGCAAATGGATTCGTAAGTGTGACAGCCACAAACTTCTTCAGTTCTTCCCTGAGTCAGAGAATAATTGTATGTATGATTCACAGGAAATCTACGAATTGTATCACAATGGCAGCCACTTTTGCGCGGAGGAGGTGCTGCGTCACGAGACCGGCGCCAATGTGGTGATGAACTTTGCTGTGCGGAACAATGGAAGGCGCTCCTACCTATGCGCTGGCCAGGAAGCGCATTGCCAGATGTATCATGTGCAGCCGCGCATTGAATGCGAGGACGAAGCTGGCGATAAAGAGGGAAAGAAACCGGCGGTGGAACGTCCACATGAGAATGGCGTGCGACAGCGTGGCCAGCACTCTGGCGTGGAGAATCTCTCAAATGGACACACACCAGCGGAATCATCAGCTGCAACGGCCGCGGACATACTTAAGCAATTCAGGCGTCTGCGCTTCGATATACAGGCCGCGGATGTGGTGCAAACAGACTTTCTAAGCAGCGCCGAGCCACTGCAGCGAGTGGTGCGCATTAGCGGCAATGGACGCCTGATGGCCACGGGCGGCACAGACGGACGATTGCGTATCTGGTCGTTTCCACAGATGGCGCTAGCAGCCGAGCTGACGGCGCACAGCAAGGAAATCGACGACCTCGACTTCAGTCCCGACGGCAACTACATCGTGAGCATCTCAAAGGATGCACAGGGTCTAGTGTGGGACCTGGGCACGGGCAAGGTGCGGCACAAGCTCAACTGGCAAACGCCCGAAGGCGTTAAATATTTGTATAAACGTTGCCGCTACGGCACCGTCGAGGCGCAAAAGGACAACTATCGGTTGTATACTATCGCCAATCCATTAGGCAAGGTTGGCCGGCAGCGCGGCTATCTGCAGCAATGGAATTCTGCCACCGGTGCACTGAATGTCGCCGTCGGCATCGATGAGAGTCTCGCCTCGCTGGCGGTGCGCGACGATGGGCGCTTTGTGGCCGTCGGCACCATGTTCTCCGGCAGCGTTTCCATGTACATAGCCTTTAATTTGCAGGTGAGTCGGACTCTTATTGCCTTGATCTAAATGTCAAATTATGTTGAAATACGCGTCTACTTTACAGCGCGTGCTGCACATTCCTCATGCACACTCCATGTTTGTGACGGGCCTGCAGTTTCTGCCCATTACCAATGAGGAAGGTCCGCCCATATCTAGTGATACGGAGGCGGCCGTACTCTCCATCTCTGTGGATAATAAAGTCTGCATACACAGTCTGCAGCAGCGACGTAAGTGACCATTTTTTTCCATTGTTTGAAGTTGTTTTGTTGCGTGATTCTGACTTTTTCTTTTCCATTAATACTTGCTTAGGAGTTGCGAGATTGGATTTATGTAATTTCCCATTTATAGAAAGAATTTTCTGTTCTGAGATTTCTAAATGATTTCATTTTGTTTTTTAATTTCATGGAAACAATTGTGGAACATTTGTTTAATATATAGAATGAATTTTTCTTTAGTAGTTACTTTTCGTTGTATGCCCTTCCTATTCATACTTGTCTATTTAAAATCAAATATCGTGTGAGAATAAATGAAACGATTTTACATATTATATTATTAAGGACTTTTCGATGACACTTTCTTTGTTTATGATTATTTTATTCGAAACTTCTGCTCAGAATCTTAATACGCTTTCCCTTTCTTGGGTAGTCTTGATTAACTGTAGTTTTGAAAAATATTTAAATAGCTATCTTAAACATAAGAAATGTAATTGATATTGTTGATAGATATTGTATTTACTGATTGTGTTATGCTCTTTCTTTGCAGGAACCGTTCCAGCTTGGATGGCCATTGTCTTCATGATCATCATGATATTTGCGGTCTTTGTGTTCTGCTCCTATCTAGGCATTTAAAAGAGCAACAACAACTACATCATGAAATGAAATTAATGTGAATAACGATGTTACAAGCTAAATCAATTTACATAATTATTATTAGTTGGTAAAGAATTCGTTTAAGTTTCGAATGGCCCCGCCATGTCATGCCCACGTTGTGCTAATTATTTTAAGTATATAGGTTCCCCTCTGCCTTATCATCAATTCGATTTGTTATTGTAATATATTTCGTTCTCCACACCCCATAGCCAAGAATCCATGCAATCAGTTTGCGTTTACGTTTCTGACTCTGTTTTTATTTCCACACCAGCAAATAGTGTAAATCAATGAATGAATGCTTTAATTAACTAGCAATCTAATTGATATTTAATCAACAATTAACCAGGTCATGATAGTAACTAACAACAACAACAAAAACAAATATGTAACGAATTTTTGTAATCGAACTACACATTTAATAGGTATTTAAAGGACTTAGCGAATAGTTTAGCAGCTGAGCGAATAAAATTTCGTTTTGTGTGAATGGGAAAATCGAACGAAAGCGGCTTTTCTTTGGGGGAATTCTTTCTTTCAGCGACGATTTAACAATATTCGGGTATATTTTAAAATAAATATGCAATTTGTTAATCATAAGAGCTTGTGGATAAGCTCTACGAGCAACATCTTTAGTTATTCAAAGTTATGGCTACAGAAGGTAAGAAATGACGAGTCTATTCCATGGATTAGTATTTGGGAAAACAAATGTTATTCTGGAATACTTTAAATGTTTTCCAAAGTAAAAATAATAAACCAACTCAAAACAATATTTGCATTATAAGGTTCTGCTGGCTGTAGTTTATGGCAGATTCATATATATTATATATATATTCTAATTTCTGAATGGTTTGAAATGAAACGATGAAGTAATAATCTATGGAAGCACGAAGTTGGGAAGTTAATTACTATTCAACTTTCTTTTTTGCAGATACATTTTAGTGCAATACTTTATTTGATATATGTATATAGCTACGTTAAAAGAGATCTGTAATAGAAAAGGGTTTATAGAAAAATTTCAAGTCATGAAATAAGTTTAATAGACATAGTTTACTTGAGAAGAGAGCTTCTAAAACTAAATCTGGTGCTTCTAAGGTGTCTAACTTTACTTTAGGCCTAGATATTGATGAATTTGTGTTAATTTTGCTATTTTATGTTTATTTTTTTTTATTTTATTTAACTTTTGACGGTTTTTAAAGCTTATATTTTAAATATCAATAAAAGTTAAGCTATACGCAGATATTTGTTTATTCATCAACCAACGATGCTGTCGATGTAGAAAATCAATACAATAGAGAACTTAAAGTAAACAAAATTAAAAATATTAATCCTATAAAAATTACAATATTTTCCAATAACGAATCCGACTCGATGGGGAAACTTTATTTGCCAACCAGCCAGCTATGTCCCCGAGTAGTCAGAGACGTTATTATAACAAAAGAAAATAGAGATGAAGAAATTAAAATAATAATAAAAATAAACAACAGTATATACTAATAATTTGCGTTATTTTACAAATAGGCTTCGAAAAGTATTTCGTCGCAGAAAACTAAGTTTGAATATGAAACGCTTTATTAGTTTTAATTGAAGAAACTATGTGAAATTTGTTAAATCGTGTGGAAACTATAAGTACACCTAATTCTGTTTTTACACGGTATTTTTTTTACGGTTTTGATTTAACAGGGTTACTTTTTCCTGGAGTTATAAAATACGATTTCTATTCTGAATTTCATTTCGAGCTCTTGTTTATTTTGAAAGACAATAATAAAAATCCAAACAGAAAAGAAATTATTTTTCAAATAAATGAAATAAGCAATAAAATCACGTGTGCGAAGGAACCTGCGTGGTTTATTACAAACGGTAGAAGATGAACAAATTGATTTAGAAAAGGAAAACTACATTTCGAGAGTAGGATGATACACTTTAAGTAGACATACATATCTTCATTAGAAACACTATATCGAGAAATCTATAGTTGCTTAATTTGAATAAAAGAAAGCGCAGGTTATCTAAAAAGAAGGAATATCTAAAGTCAAATACATAAAAGAATTAAATGAAAAAGGTTTGGCATTATACAATTGATGTATTGAGATAGATTTATGACAACATTTTAGATTGATATTTTAAATATAGAAATCCAAGCATAGAAATTTTAAGGAGAAACTTTATATTGTTATCGAGAGTCTCCTTAATAAATATTTAGACTCAATTTAAATCGATACCGTTTAAATTTGTTTACATATTTACTCGAACTGTCTATAAAATCGAAGAAACAGTGCAACAAATTACTAAAATCACTAAAAATGTAATAAAATTTTTCAAATATGAACCAAAAAGCTATACAAAAATAACTAAAATTTGAATGCGTTTCATAGTTGACATTATAGAGTTTATTTTAGAATATTTTTACATAATATTATTTGATTAAAAAATAAAAGCTTACTCGCTAATTTGTACAATCCGTGTACACTGGACATATAGGCATAAGGAACTTAACTTACATCGCGTACAGTAATGAGCATCGTTCACGGCTCTAGCAGCTATTCAAAAAATTTACAAAATGTATAAAGCTTGCTCTCCATTGTCCGGTCAGGGTCAGGGGATCTGCAATCCACAAATCACAGCAGCTTGGCAAGAACTTACGCCAACTGCGATTGGGTAGTGCGAGAAGACAAGAATATGTTATGCTCGCGCAGGCACAACTGAAATGAGAGTTCCAGTACCTTTAACTCGTTCTGCTTAAGTCTGAGCTCCTTTAGTTGCGCATCCCGTTGCTCGGCCATCAATTGATTCTCCATACGCAGATTCAAAATTTGTGCCATTGTAATGGCGCCAGGGCGAGGGAAAAAGGATCGGCGACGTGAGCCACGACGGCCAGTTGAGTAGGTTATGGTGGATGGCAGGGTGCGATTGGCAGGTGTCAAGGGTTTGCGTGTGTGGTCATCGGCGTCCCACTCGCCGTTCTGTTGGCTGTTACTAAAATCATCGACTGCTGACGCTTCGTTGGGTTCCATTTTTATTTGAGTATTAAGCGGCTCCGCCTGTTCTGACTTTACTGTGACCGGCTGTTGCTCAACTTCCAAAAATGGACAGCCATCTGGGTCGCGGGTGGCATTCACAGTCTTGAAGGATTGGTTCGGATAAAAGGATGGCAGATCAGACACTTCTGCTGAAATCATGCGCTCAATAGACTCCAGCGTTTTCTGCTCGTGCAGCACATCGGGCGGTGGTGAAGGCAGCTCCAAAATACAGTTGATTAATGGATAAAGGCGCCAGGAGGTCTTGTACGTAGGATCGTTCTGCATCCGTCGCCGCTCGTTTCTGTAAAGTGTACTTATATTAATCAAATTATTCAAATTTCAATTGTATACTCACTCGAATTTGTTTTTGTATGTGCGAATGCGGCGTTTCACTTCTTGTTTGTTTAGTTTTGAGTTGCGCTCGCACATGCCTGTGAGAAATAATTTGAAATTAAAATCGTGTTGGATTGTCATTTGGGCTTCACTTACCATTTGCTATGGTGCGAAATATGGGAAAGGTCTCATCGTAGCCTGGTATCTCGTGCACGTGGTGGCGCCATAGCTCAACCAAATACATTTCTAAACATAATTTTAAAAATAATTGCTTTACAAATTGATTTGCATTTGTAAACAGAGTTTTTTTCTTCAACCTTACCTTCGAAGGAGGTGTAATAGCGCAGCCGAGTGTTCCTGTTCGACTTCTTCTCCTGGAACAGCTTCCAGCCGGGATTACTAGTCTTGGATGGACTTTCATTATCTACGTCCTGCATTTTGGCAGCGAGCTAAATTGCAAATTTGTTGTGAAACTATAAAAACATTGCCTGCGATCTGAAAGCGATGTGTGACCATATGGCAATACAACAAAAACACCGAAACAAACCAGTTTTAAAAACATTTATTTACATGGCTAAGCATTCAATTAAAATCAATTTAAGCTGCATTTGTTAATTGTGAATTTAGGTGGATGGTGCATTATGCGCATAATCAATGAAATATAGCAATTATATATTCGTTGCATTAAAATACCAACTTCGCGCTGAAGCAAACGATAAGTGATGCAGCGGCGAACTAGTTCATTACTGCTGTTGTACGTGACCAGGCAACGCCGTGGCGAGCATAATTTAGCGGCTTGGGAGATGTTGATTTCTGTGTACTATTGTTGAGTTTGTTGCAAAAAAAAAATTGCCCCAATTGTGTGCACTAAATGTTTGAAGATATTGTGTAATTGTTAAGCATTGTTTTACGAACCGACGCCGTGCGCCCGCTTGCATGGACTACGATACTTTGACGCTGAATGTGCCCGTGCCCGTGGCTAGAGCTGGAGGAACAGGAACCGAAACCGAAAGCGTATCGAGCGCTGTCAGTGTGAACACAACTAGTTCGGAGCCGGACGCCAACATGTGTGGTGGCCAGGAGCTGCTGGAGGTCAAGTCAAAAGATAAGGCGCGTCGTTACTGGACGCCGCGCGAGGAGGATCGTCTCTACGACATATGGGGACGCGATAATTGGCGATTAACGCGCAACGGCAAGAACACCGTCTACTTTGCGAAGTGGTCGGACGAGCTGCGCGAGCGCTTCAACATCGACGTGAAGGCGGAGGAGATTCAGATGAAGGTCAACCAAACCCGCGCCAAGTTTCGGTGAGTGAAAAAATCGAACGCCATTATAATTGACATTAAACCGGCTTATACACTTTTCATATTTTGCTTTGACACTTGGCAGGAGTGTGCGAAAGGCTATGAAGAACGACCCTACTGGGAGTGTCAGCGATGCGAAACGTTGGAAGAAATACAACATTATTGATAGAATACTCAGAAATATGCACAGGCCTAAAGATGCGGACCCGGTGCCACCAGAGGCGCTGCTCAATAACCGTGACATGTCGCCGGAGCGCATGGACACGCCCACAGAGCAGGGCGGCGCCGACAATGTCAACGAGCAGGGTATTAATTTATCGCTGGAGGCGTCAAATAACTTTTATAATAATAGCAACAGCAACAACAGTGGCAATGCCAACAACAATGGTGGCTACAATACCGAACTCTTCACCGATCAGTATGACGAGGTGAAGCAGGAGTATGATGAGGTGAAACAGGAATACGAGGAGGAATTTCGCTCAATGCCATTTCAGGAACAACTGCAACAATATTCGCCTGCAGAGCCGGCACAGCTGCTCGAATTGCAGACGCCAAAGCAACAGCAACAACAGCAGCAACAGCAGCAGCAGCAACAACAATTTCATTCAAACTATGGACAAGGCGTTGTAGCGTACGCAGCTCCTACTCAACAGCCACATCAACAGCAGCACTATGGCAGCAACAATGTCGCGCATCAGCCCATTACGGCCGTGGCGTACATCAACAGCAGCAACAACAGCATTAGTGTGGCAACCAACAGCAATGGCATGCAACCGCCTCTGCCTATTGGCAACAACGCAGCCGCGCCGACATCTACTCCCACAGCAGCGTCCACAGCAGCAGCCACAGCATCATCCACGCCAGCACCTACACCCACAGCCACTCCCACACCAACGCCACGCAAACGTGGACGTCCTTATGGCTCCCAAACAGGGGCCAGTGCTGATTCGCTCGAAGCCATGTACATGGAGGAGGTGAAGCGAAAAAATCAACTGATTGCCGAACAAACGCAAATCTCGAAGCAACGGCTCGAGCTCGAGGAGCGCAAAGTGGAGCTAATGAGTGCGTTTTTCCCCAAATGCTTGGAGCTGCAGACGCAGATATTATCGCACATGCGGACGCTCCAACAGTTCCAGCAGCAGCACCAGTCCCAGTAACTAAATTGTCTCATCAATTTATCCCTTTGAATTTACGAGTGGCAAGCGTTTTCAACAATAGCAACAACATGAAAACTAATCTAATTTTATAATTCTTAACTTATTGTGTTGTGTTGCAGCGCCGGCATCAAAAACAACTATAAAATGTACGAATTATAGCACACACTCTCACACATACACACACCTACAATACAAACCTAACAATACGGTTCATAAATGTAAGCCTACACTTAGCTCTAACTATAAATATAATATATATATATATATATAAATAATTGTACAAGCGTTATCGAAGTTCACCCAAACTGAACACAGCATAGTATTGTGACAAGCTGCTTTTCGAAAAAAACAAAAACATTATGTATTCTGACTCCTTAGTGGTAGATCATTCGCAATTATATTAAATATACATTTATATCATCATGTTCGAAGCATGTGACTTCGAAAACTTAAGGTCGTTATATCTGCCCATTAAACTGATCAAGTGAATTTCTTTTCTGTGTGTGTGTTTGTGTGTGTTTGCTCCTTTTCATGGGGGGTTCTTAGTCTAAGCGAGAGTGTTGTATTTTTTTTTTAAATAAATGTCTTTTGTTCATGTGTAATTCCTCGAGCTTGTAAGGACTTGTTCGTATTCCATTTTCACATGTTGTGACTTCTGATTGTATTGAAATATTGTTAAGATTTTGAATTGAGGAGATAAATTCTATACGTGAGAGCTATTTTTACAAAAGAGACTTGTTCTGATACGCTTGCAAAAATATATGCAAGTATAGTATATATATGTGATGCGTAATCTCTATACGAACTGAGATAACAACCAATGCTCGAGATTTTGTAGTACACATGAATTCGACTCTTTTAAATACTTCATAATCGATTGGAGGTTGTCTTTAGTAGAGTTGGTAAGGACGGGATGGCTTTCAAATTCGAATATGAGGGAATTGGGTAAGTTTAGGGTGTCCAGTAGCTGGGCATTAAAATAGTGTAGTAATGCTCATTTTTTATTTATTTTATAGACAGTGATGTAGTGTTTTCTTCATGGTTGTTTATGTCACACATATTTCACTTCGGGTCGGGAATTACAGACAATTTGAGTAGTTATATGAATAGCTATCAGAAGATATTTCTTTTTCTATGTACATATCTATATCTATCTATATACATATGTACTTGTAATATAGATTTTCTCCAATCCAGTTTTAATGTTTTTCAACTGTTAACTGCATTTTTTATTATTAGTTAAAATTATTTGATCTGTAATAGAAAAATGTATACAGTTTTTAATGCCATTTATTGTATTGGGCTTTATTTATATATAAATATCATTTCTAAATGAAAATAGTGGCTAACAATTCGAACAACTATATTTCAACTTCTGCAGTATGATCCGAAAAAAGCATAGCTTAATGGGGGAAATTTTGGTAATGAGAACAGCTAGAATTTCCATAAAACTGTTACATGATTAGGATTTTCTTATAGAGAATATCTGTTCTCACATATTACTTAAAGAAATTGAAAATTTCTTGATCTTTTTAGCTGATTCGAACTTTAGATGAAGTCCAGATTTAAACTTCTTTTGATGAAATGATTCTGACAAAGTAATTATGGCATTCACTGTAATGTGGAACACAAATAAATAACAAACAAATGGAGCGATAAGAAGGTCTTATCTACGATTATTTCTGTATTGTACATTAGACATGTCTATTAAGACAAAGCGATAGGAAACTTACAATAAAGATGGTGCCCTATATGCGTTGGGGATAGCGTTTATGGAGTATTCCATTTGGCTTGATAACGCCCTATTTTTGAAGACAAGGTCAGTTTCTGCGAATTGGTTCATAGCCGAGACATTATCTTTGTTTGCTGTGGGCATTATTGAAGGTTACCTTTCGGAATTGCATTTAATTAAAAATGATAAGGTTCGGGTATAAATAGAACCCTTTTTATATGGTCCCAGTAAGTTTCCGTTAGTCAGTCATCCCAGCAACATGTTAATCAAAACCGAGGACGCAATTAGCATTCGCACCATGACCGTGGAGGATTACAAGCGGGTTAAAATCTTTCTGCGGGATCATTTCTTCACAACTGAACCGCTCACCTCGACCAGCGAAGAGGACGAGTCGCTGTGTGAGGAACAGGATACGGACGAGTATCATCTGGCACTCATCCGTCAGGGCACCTCATTGGTAGCCGTCGACTCGACGGATCAAATTCTGGGTCTGGTACTGGCTGGAGGCCAGGTGCCCAGTGATCTGGAGAAGAATCGGAGGGCGGTTGAGAAAATGCAGTCGCACATCAAATGCCGCATCGACACGTTTCTGTCCAAGGTCGAGAGGGATGCCAATATTTATGAGCGCTACGGCCTGGTCAAGGCACTCTACCTGCACATCATCAATGTGGCTCCTTCAGCTCGCGGTAGGGGCCTCGGAGCTCAGCTCACGACCAGTCTAATGGCTATGGGTCGTGACAGGGGCTTCCCCCTAATGCTGGCCTACTGTACAAGCTACTATTCGGCCCGGCAACTGGAGGCGCTAGGAATGGAGTGCGCTTACGCAAAATCCTATGCAGAGTACAAGGACGAACAGGATAATGTGATTTTTAAACCGCCAGCACCTCATACCCATTTGAAAGTAATGGCCATCAGGTTGTAGTCGGAGAAAACTCTGAAAAAAACTCTCATGAAACTCTACGAACAATTTAGCTTATAAAATATTTTAATGTAATTAGGTTTTTAAAACAACTCAACTTTTGAGTGAGGAAAATTTGATAATTGATACGTTTCTCGAAGAAAATTGTCAATATAGCATAATAGAATATGTTTTTAGATCGATTTTAAATAAAGCTATATGAACAGGTTATATTTTATTATTTATATAATTCGGTAATATATTTATCAACGTACCAGACTTCTATTGTTCGCACGTTTTTAGCTTCATGTCGATTCTCGTTTCTTAACACATCATAGGCTTATTGGCTTTTAATGTATTATTGAATTTTTTCAACATTAATATATGTTCTTATTGGCCTACGAATATCAGAAACCAGTAGTGCCTATAAGAACTCAACAAATTCTGACAACTTTTTTCAATCGAAAATAAATACTTTTTAAAGAAGAGTATTGTGTGTCGAATATACATATTTGCTAAGTAATAATCAGTCCAGTAATTTAATGATAATAGTAATTAATTAATAATAATTTTGACGCCCATTAAACATACAGATATTTATAATGGCGCGGAATGAATTAATACACATAATTAATTGGCATGAATACGGTATTTATATTAAAGGTGTTCGGTCGCAGAAAAATGTTGTGTTTTTAATTAAATTGTATATTATATCATATTGAAGGTAAAATGTGTTATTCATAAACTTATTTCATTGGTGGGCAACAAAACTTTGTGATTCCTAAAACGCGACAAATTGTTTCGATCTGTTTTAAATTATGTTTAGCCATTGACAGTGATAGTTTATTCCCCTTTATTATATAAAATAGAAAAGTTAAAGAGGCACAAAACTCTTGGTTGCGCAAAAAGTTATGTTCATTAACTTTATGAACTTATTATAGCAACCGATTGATCCTTTTTATACACTGTGGTTGTTTTTATCTTTTCAATGTCTGCCTGTAAAAAAGGCAAAAAATAAAAAAGATTTAGCCTGCCAGCCTTACCTTTAACCTGAGACGGTTTCTTATTTCTTTTGGAGTTTTTTTACTCAGACAAAATAATATAAAATAATTAGTTGCATTTACATTTATTTTCTAGGCTTTCTTATATTTTAAGTTGAAATTATAATGTATTTTTATTCTATATATTATAATTCTATATTTATTGGAATTTGTATCAACATTTCAAATGTGTTGATTTAATAAATAACAAGAAAAAAGAAAAAGACTTCCAGACCAACAACGAATCACCTCCATGCTTGACCGATTTGTTGGTAAACCGGACGTGGAAGTGCTTGCCTTTGGAATGAAATATTAGTTTTTGTTCTATATAGTATATGCATAAACAAATACTCGTATATGAATTAACAAATATTGTTAAATAGAAACACACAGCATTTACAAAGCAGTCTATTCTGCGCTTTGATGTTTGATTGTGGCGTCAAGTACGGAGTATTGGCACGATAGTACTATTGAATAGATTATATATTCGCTGAAAAGGGAAGGGCTCAGTAGGAGTAAAGTAAAAGACAATAGTCGCGGACCGCCGTGCGTCTGTTCGCTTTAGAGTTTTATTGGAGACTGACACTTTTGCTATACATATTCTTTATGCTTACATTCGTATGCAACAGTGACAGATAACTTGTAGATAACATAAGATTATTATCTGCTTATATTAACATGCGTGCATTGGTACTTATGTTTGTATTGATTTTCAACACCCTTCCTCAATGCAAACATGTTTTACAAAAATTTTCAAATCAAATTTAACAGCTTTGTAAAATGAACATGCTTCGCTTTAGGGAGATTTTTCGTTAAAATATCAGCTATCATTTCATTGGTTGATGTATACTGTAAAACAATTTGTTCTTCGTTTACAACCTGTCTTGCAAAATGATATCTAATATCAATATGCTTTGTTCTTTCATGGTGTACAGGATTCTTAGCTAATTGTTGAGCACTTAAATTATCGCCATGAAGAATAGTTGGAGTACTCGAGTCACCGCAGCCAATCTCCACTATAAGACGCCGTAGGTATATGGCCTCCTTACACGCAGTTGAAAGAGCCATATACTCCGCCTCCGTGCTGCTAAGTGCCACGCTGCGTTGCTTTTCAGATCGCCAGGATATGGGTCCTCCAGCCAAGTAGTATACATAGCCAGTATACGACTTGCGATCGATGCGGTCGCCACCCCAGTCTGCATCCACATAGCCGGTAAGGGGTTGTCCACACTCTTTGTAGTGCAACTTCAGGTCCACAGTTGACGCCAGGTATCGAAGCACATGTTTTACACCCACTAGGTGCTCTGCATGCGGATCTTGATTCCGTTGAGCTAACTTGGCAACGGAATGCAATATGTCTGGCCTTGTTGTAAGCGCCAGCCACATTAACTCGCCAATTGAAGACTGGTAGGATGCAATGTCAACCTTTTGACAATGCTCGCTGGTACATATCACTTGGAAACCAGCATCCAGTGGGGTCGCTGTAGGTCTACAGGTCTCGCATCCATGTTCACGCAATATGTCTTTGATGTATTGCGAATTGCTTAGCGAAATTTCGCCAAGCTCACCGTCGCGCTGCACTTCCATGCCAAGGAACAAATGCAGCTCTCCCTTGTCAACACATTCAAACGATGTTGTAATGGCTGACTTGATGTTGGCCAAGTCCTCTTTTGATCGGCATGCTATAATTATATCATCAACATAAACAAGGATTAATGATAAGTCACCTCTTCCGTTCCTTTTGTAAAGACACGGTTCATTTTCACATGCTACAAAATCTATGCCTTGTAGTACACAATCGAGCTTGGAGTTCCACTCGCGCCCCGACTGCTTCAATCCATATATTGCCTTTTTAAGCAATAAAGCCTTACTTGGATTATTGGGATCTGTGTATCCCTGTGGCTGCTTCATATAAACAGTTTCATGCAGGTCGCTATTCAAATAGGCGGTACACACATCTATCTGGTGAAGGTACAGCTTCAATTCCGCTGCTAACGCCAAAATAAACCGCACGGTTTCCAATCTGCAAACGGGTGAGAACGTCTCTACATAGTTCACGCCATACTTCTGGGAGCACCCTTTAGCAACGAGTCGTGCCTTGAAACGTTCGACTTTTCCATCAGAGTCACGTTTCAGGCTGTATACCCACTTGCAACCAACTGCTCGCTGATCTTTTGGTAAATCAGCCATCTGCCAGGTTTCGTTTGATTGTAGTGCCTGATATTCCTTTTGCATCGCCTCTTGCCAGAATACTGCATGTGTGCTACCAACGGCCTGATCATAGGATGTCGGAACCATTACGTCACTAGCAACCAATGCTCCAAGCACATTGTATTGCTTTCTTGGACGACCAGGTTTACCATTTCGAACAATTTTAGGCCGGCCTGGCCCAATCTTCACAGTATCCTCGTCAGAGTCTTCTTTTTCGACTGCACTCTCATATGCGTTGGAGCTGCTGTCGTCAGAACTGTGCTCACTGTCATCGTCGTCGATGCTTCTGTCACCATCCGTGTGAGTGACATGCTCTTGAACCTCGCATGCAGGAAAATCTACCGTAACGGTATCTTCATTGGTATGACCACCACAACGCTCATCAAATAGAATGTCTCGTTTTTCGACAATCGTCCTCGTCTCTGGGTCGTATAACCGATAGCCTTTGGCTGCTACCGAATACCCAACCATACGGTACTCATGCCCTTTGGGTTTGAATTTGCCTTTACGGGGACCCTTTGCAAGTGCAACTGCAATGGAACCAAAAACTTTTAGATGGCTAACACAGGGTTTCTTACCTGTCCACGCTTCCATTGGAGTCAGGTTGTTCAGTGCACTGGTAGGTGATCTGTTTCTTATGTATACTGCTGTGTTGACTGCTTCGGCCCACAAAGACTCGCCTAGGCCCGACTGCACCAATAAGCATCTGGACATCTCCGTTAATGTCCGGTTTGCTCTTTCCGCCACGCCGTTCTGCTGCGGAGTATAAGCCACGGTCAATTGCCTTGCAATACCATGGTGTTTCAGGAAACCGTTGAATGTTGTGTTGACAAACTCGCCTCCATTGTCGGTTCGAATACATTTGAGCTTTTTATCTGTTTGCCGTTCAACCAAGTTTTTAAATTCGACGAACTTACTGAACACTTCATCTTTCTTCCGCAAAAAATAAACAAATATACGCCTGGACTTGTCATCGATGAAGGTCAGAAAGTATTTGGATCCAGCAAGTGACTTCGTGTCGAATGGGCCGCATACATCAGCATGAACCAGTTCCAACAGCTCTTCGGCACGGTTAGTGCTTACCTTTGGGAATGGCTGTACATGTATTTTGCTTAGCATACACGTTTTGCAATTCAAGTTGTCTGGGAAAACAACCTTTCCAATACCACGCACTAGCTCTTTGCTGATCACTTCCTTCAGACTGGTAAAATTTAAATGGCCATAACGCTTATGCCACAATGTACCATCTGATTCAGTTGCGGAATAACACCTATTTTGTTTGCCTTGAAACATATAAAGGTTCCCAACTTTATTCGCTTTCAGTATACACTCGCCGTTTTGTATAACTTTAGCAAAATGTGGCCCAAAATGTATAACATTGTTCTTTTGCACTGACCGGCTGACGGACATAAAGTTGCCATTCATTTTCGGTACATACAGTACATCTGACAACACCAAGGTACAAAGTTCTGTCTGTAACTTCACCTCTCCTCTGCCTTCGGCCTTCAGGAAACCAGCGTCAGCTAAACCGATCATTTCAGTGTGCGCAATAAATTTTGAAAATAACGTCTTATCGCAACACATATGGCTTGTTGCTCCGCTGTCCAGACACCACATGTTGTTCTCTATCTTTCCAACGTCCAACGCATTTAACAAGCTGCTCTGCTTTTCCATCTCTTTCTTTGTCGATTGCTTTTTCCCTTCACCGCGAATTTTCTCACGCTTGCACTGTGCCTTGTAGTGCCCTTTTTCGCCGCAGTTGTAGCAAACGACGATTTTTGAATTCCTTTTTGAATTCGCTTTGGAATGCGCGACGATCTGCTGCGTAGCTATAAATGCTCTTGCATTCTCGCTCTCTCCATCTGCATTGCCTCTGCGCTCTCCCTCTTCCATCAGCTTGATACATAACACATCAAATGACGGTAAATTGTCACGCGTCTCAATGGCGACGACAAAATTTTCGTATGGTTCGGGCAAGCTTGACAACAACACGATTGTTTTTAACTCATCATTTAATTCGATGCCAACTGTACACAAACCATCCAGAATTTCGTTAAATTCGTGTATGTAACTTGAAATGCTTTGGCCTTGAAACATGCGTTTGCCTAGCAATTTCTTGTACAGCGACACTTTCCGTACAGGTCCACTCGGCTGATGAACGTCCTTTAACTTTTTCCATGCCTCGTACGAAGTGTTGCAATTTTTAATGAAGCCCAATTGTGAAGCTTTTACACTTAGCGTTATAATTGCTAATGCCTTTTCATCTTTTGGCCTTGAACTCTCAGTATTACTAGGTTCAGCACCTGATGCCACACTCCACAATTCCGCGTGCACTAAGACAGATCGCATCTGTATGCTCCATGAGTCATAGTTATGCTCTTCCAATTTGTCTATTTGATATAGCGCACTCATTTTTTAAATGTTATATTTCTTGAGTCACCAAACGATTACTATTTCACAATACTTTGAACTTCTCCTATGAGCCTATATGCCCTGGGCCCATAACCTATTGAATAGATTATATATTCGCTGAAAAGGGAAGGGCTCAGTAGGAGTAAAGTAAAAGACAATAGTCGCGGACCGCCGTGCGTCTGTTCGCTTTAGAGTTTTATTGGAGACTGACACTTTTGCTATACATATTCTTTATGCTTACATTCGTATGCAACAGTGACAGATAACTTGTAGATAACATAAGATTATTATCTGCTTATATTAACATGCGTGCATTGGTACTTATGTTTGTATTGATTTTCAACAAGTACTATATCGGCGGCACTTTAAACAGATCGGCATAGTTGTTATTTGGAAATATCGGAGAGGAGCTTTCAAAAGCTAGCCAACGAATTCCCCACACTCGCTTGCCTCGCGATCTCACGTGCCATTGTTTTTGTATTTTGCTTTTGTTTTTCTCAGCTGAGAGAGTTGCGAACGGCGGCGAATTGTGGAAGTGAATTCATTTTTAATTTCCAGTTGCTTTGCTGACTTGTCGCGCGAAGGTGCGTCTCCAATATAGTAGTCGGCCAGATCGTAGCCGGGCGTGACGACGACGGACTTGCAATTCGTTTTAATTGCAAACTTTCGTTTTTGTTTGTTATTCATTTGTCGGCTTGTTTGTGGCTGTGATTGTTGTTGCCAATTGTTAAGAAGCGTGTGGGAGTGTTAAATTGTTTGTGTCACCTCGCATTATGTGCGCCAAGTTGCATTTAATATTGTTGTTGTTGTTGCCGCTGTTCGTTGGCCTTTCGCAGGCTGGCGTCTTCGTCCGACAAAGGGAGCGCCAGCAGAAACAAGCGGGGCGAGCGGATGGAGAGAAAACGCCTTGGGAGCTGCGAGAGGCGATATACGGCGCGTCGGGCCAGATCGGATTCAATGGCACTTGGATATCAGGTAAGGGACCTGCCACCATAAAACGTGAAAAGTTCTGGCTTTTATCAGTTCCGGACAAACTCCCGTCGTGCGACTATTATCGTAATGCGAAGGTTTAAGAATGTGGCTTCCATGAAACTAATTCAATTTAATTTTAGGTTTAAATTAACTTTTTGCCAAACAAGAATATATTGTAAATAAACAAAGGCCAGTGTTTTTTTTAAGCCGAACTTCTAACAGAAAGTCTTGATGCAAGTTCGAAGTTAAATGAATGCTAATTTCATTAATTTGCAATGTAGACTTTTTTCACAAAGGAATGAGTTTGGGAATAAAAAGCTCTTACCATATACAAGTATATGCCGTTTAATCTTTAAAGTTCTTAATACAAGTATATTATATTATACGAAAGGTTAACATCTATAAGGCAATCCAGAAAAGCTTCTAAATACACAAAAAAAATATAAATATTTCATTTAATTTGATCCTATAACATAAATATATACATTTTATATTTAAATTATGTACGTTAAAGAAATCTTTCCATTCAAAGCAGCCACAAAATAGCTCAAATGTTAACAGCATTTTTCTATAATTTCTTAGGAAAATTTCTTTTCAGCTAACACTTTGGTAGACTTAATAAGCCACTTCTTCTGTAGCTACCTTCAAATCAAAAGCTGTTAGGAATAAAAAGCGAATCACGCTTTAACTTCTCGAAGTTCAGAAGCAGTTTTAAGCCACATGTGATTCACAGAACTACTTAAAAACTATTTTAAATAGCTTTCTAGTATACAAATCAGCTCCAAAATATTTCCAAGTATAGTAAATCATTTCTGAATCGATGTTGAGCAAGCATGGAATAATTCTTGAGACAGTTTTGAACCGGTTTCGTATACATATATGTATAATACCATAAGTTATTGTTCAGATTTAAAACTGAATTAATTGTAAACACTTTAACAAATTCTATGGAAAAGGAAACAAGAAACAGCAACAACAAATAATAAGCATTATCTAAGAAAACTTTGGCTTTTCTTGTATTCTTTCTTAGACTATACAAACAAAGTTTGAAGTTAAGCCGACGACGTTGGAGCTCGTTTTCCCCCATTTAGAGTTCAAATTTTACAAACGGCTCTGCAAAACTGTGTCTACAATTTAGCTTCCTAGCTCCTACAATCAGTCTGTTATATATATATGCTAAATGTAGACCTCAACTTTGATATTTTTTCATTCATTAATAGTTTTTGTACTCTGTACCCGAAAGGTAAAAGGGTTCTATTATTATTGCAGAGAAAAGCTTTTTCAACAACGTAACATTCTCTTATATCTATATATATTATACTTAATCAGCATAACGAGACAAATCGATCTTTACATGTCCGTCCGTCTGACCAGGTTCTTCTTCTTTATGCATATCACTACTACGAGTAGGAGCTCATCTTGTATCAACATCTTATCGGGCCAACGATCTGGTATCAGAGGAAGAACCGGGCAGGCAGGTATATGTAGTTCAGGGTAATTATTGGTGATCGAAAGACGGTTTTGCAATCGGTAAACTATCAAATTTAGAGACGTTTTGTTAAGCTAATTGAAGTAAAAATGATGCTACTACTTGTATAACACCGTGGTGTATAATTGTTTGGGTCCTTTAAGGATTTCTCGACTGCAACTTTCAAAATTCTCAATATTTGTGTTTCTGATCGAATTGAAATGGAAGAACACCAAAAAATATGCTTTTGCCACATTCCGGGCCGCCTTTTTAAAAAAAAACCCCAGCGATAACATATTAGTTCGCACTTTTTATTTTGCTTGTTTAATGATGTTGGGAATTTTTTTTATAGATTTGTAATCTCTGTTATAATTTCTATTCTCTTTTCTGACCAGGTGGTTTTTGCTTCTGAAAATATTTGAATAAAGCCTTCTCTCCACTTGTTTATATGTTACATTTTGCTGTTAAAAAGCGAAAAACTGATTGCTTTTCTTGTTTACATGCCGTACTAGCAACTTCCCTTCTCCCTTCTTTCACGAATATTGTGAATCAATATATAGCCAATTGAAACAAATGATGATTAATTAGGTAGTGTAATTATATGGAGCTTTGTGCGATCTTCATTGACACTGCATATGAGAATGTTATCATTAAAGAAACACAAATTAATTGACGTTGTCGCTCAAGATCAACAAGTCAGGCGAAAGTTCCACAAAGCTCAGCGGGCGATTGATTTATTCCCATGAATTGTTCAAGCACTTGGGTGTTATCTCACCTCTCTATCATAGAATACAAACCGAATTGGCGTTGCTACAAGCACATAAATAACCGCTTGAAATCTTATCTACATAAATTATTGAAACTAGCTAATAGTGCTGTCGACTCTTATCGCTGTTCGAAAACTAATTTGCTTCAGCCAGAGCGTGTGCTGATCATAAACGCTATTGTTGCTATATGGAGGGATAGATGCAAGTCATAGGTAGCCTAAATAATTGTTAAAGAACTTCTGCAAAATTGAGAAATTAGAAATGAGCAAATTAAAAAATAAATGCTAGCTTGTAAATTCAATTAGTTATCATTATTTATAACTAATAAAGTAAAGTATTTTATGGCAGCTAACAAAACCCAACTAAACATTCAGTTTTTTTACATTTTTTTTTTAAATATGCCAGCATTTCAATTTTTTCCTGTTGTTAGTATTATTGTATTGTGGTTGATATATAGATTTTTAATGAAATTTTACAAAAATCTGGCCCTCAATTAAGCCATAAAAAATTAATCCCAAAGGGATCTGCTTAGTGGAAAGAATATCGTTTACTAGAAAATAAATAGCTCTTGGATGGAAGTAACATTAGATTCAGAAAAAATTCAACAAATTTGCGTGCAAATTATGTAGCAAATAAATTATTAGATTTAATTTATGAGTATCTGCTATCTATACAGCGATCAATCTGTTCTAAGTTAAAGAGTAACAAACAATAGTATTGAACTAATCTTTATCTTAGCATGACAAATATCAAATATGTATCTCTTTCCACCTTTATAGCCGTTACAAACATTTAACTAAAATAAATCGATCGGTTCTTTATAAAAAACTTGTAAAACGTTACAAATTTGCTTGCAAATTGTTTGCATGTCTGACCATACCTTTCGACTTTCATTTTTTTATTGTCCCCTATTTGTTGTTTTCGTGATTCCACATTAATATTTTTGGCACTTTTTATGTTTTCAAATTGAAAGCTCCACAACAACTACAAAACACATTTCGCTGATTGGTCTGGCAAGAGGCCAATCGCCAATTAATTTTGAAATGCCAAGACTTACAAAATTCAATTGCTGGTTGGGCTCTTGATGGGCCTAGAAAATGGTTGAGTTTGTAGTGCATGTGATGTGTGTCTACAATTGCCAATATTTAACAGCTTCAGTATTGACTAAATGAGTGGAAGGAAGCAAAATAGCACGGACTTGTAAATTAAATAAATAATACATAGAAATATGTTCTCTTTCAAAACAATTCAAAGCCATTCCTACCATTTGATTTAGGGAGTTTATAAATAGTTTTGTTTTAATGTCTTTTTTTTACCAGACAAACTTCATTTTCCAAAATATATGTTGAATTAATTCTTACTAACTATAGTATTAATATATAATAACAATTGTTACTTAAATGTTAAAAGGTTGCAAGCCTGTTTCTTATTTAAAGTATACGGCTGATTTTGTAAAATATTTGTTGTGCCCTAATTTCAAAAGCGTATTTAATCGTTTACATATATATGGACGTTAATTTAATAGTTTGGCGACTCAAGCAGCTGTTATTGAAAATAAAATGCATCATTTATTTACCATTTGAACCGTAGATAATGAATTCTATTATACGGCAACCGATAAATCCATTCACAAGTACAATGCGGCCAGCAAGACGGATAGCATTTTCGTTGGAGCCGGCTTTCTGGTGAGTACCCGTAAGAGTCCGATTACGGAGATTACTTAATCTGATATATTTTCGTTTAACCACGCAGAATAAATATACGGGTGCCACATTCACACTCTCCCCGGATAATACGAAAATACTTGTGCGCTACAATTTGACACTAGGGTTCCGTCATTCGTATATAGCCCAGTACGATATTTACGACATCGCCAAAGATACGGCCATTAATGTGCATAATGGCGAGAAGTTGCAGTATTGTGGTTGGGCTCCGAACCAGGGACGCTTGGCCTATGTGTACGAGAACAATGTTTACGTACACTTTGAGGAGAATCAGGAGGTTGCCATCACGAACGATGGCGTTACGGGCGTTGTGTATAATGGTGTGCCCGATTGGGTGTACGAGGAGGAGGTTCTGGGCAGTGGCAGCGCCTTGTGGTGGTCCCCTGATGGCTCGAAGCTGGCAGTTGGCTTTTTCAATGACACCAATGTGGAGACCTTTAAGTATTTCCTCTACGGCGATACCGATGATGATTTCCAACAATATCCCACAGAGTTAGATCTCAAGTATCCCAAAACGGGCACACCCAATCCCGTCGTGAGTTTGAAAGTGTTCGACTTCGACAACGAACAGAACATTACCTCGATTCAACTGAGCGCACCTGTGAGCATTGTGAGTCTGGATCACATACTCCAGAATGTTGTCTGGTCGAATAATACGTATATGCTCATCACCTGGTTGAATAGACGCCAAAATCTGGGAAGTTTGCAGAGCTGCAGCTACCAGGGTGTTTGCAGCGAAGTCAAGCGATTGGAGGAGCCCGATGGCTGGATCGGCATTAGCACGCCAAAGTGCCTGAGCAATGGTCTGAACTGCATCTTCGCCAATTGGATAGACAACTGGTTTCAGGTGTGGAACTTGGATCTGCAAACTGGTCAAAACATTTGGCAGTCACGCGGCAACTTTACAGTCATCAATGTCTACGGCTATGATGAGGCCAATCAGAAACTGTAAGTACCGATAATTGGTGGCCAGATTTCAAAGATTTCTTAGAAAAGATAAAAAGCTTATCAATGCAAATGATAAAAACAGTGAAGTCTTAGAGAGTATAGATGCTTAGATAGAGGTGAACTGTTCGAATAATCTCGTCATTATCCAGCTGGGAAACCATCGATAAGTGCTAGATGACAAAATGATAGAAAAAATGATCATATAAGCGAGTAGACGATCGAAAGGAAAGGGCATTGTGCAGAAAATGTATCTACTTTGCGTTATTTGCATTCCTCAATTTGGGTTTGAAAACCAGTAGAGCGCTATAACTTTGTGATCCATTGATCCAACAAATAAACGCAAACAAAAAATATATCTGACCCTTACTCGCACCTAGACGAATGTGCATACCAAGTTAGCTGACTCAGTTGTTGGTAACTCCCAAGATATTTGCGTTCATACAGACAGACGAACGAGCAGACGTTTGAACAGGCGCTTAGATAATCGGCTATGTCTAGTTTGAAACGACGCAAAATAACCTCATGATACAGCGATGATATAAAACGATTCCTTAGTTGTAAGAAATCCTCTTATATAATAAATAATTATGCTTTTCCTTTCAGGTTCTATCAAGCGACGCAACCTGGTGATCCATCGGTCAGACACGTTTACAGCAACGATGACTGTCTCAGCTGTAAACTCATTGATGCTGATGGCGCGGCCTGTCGTATGGCCTCGGCTAGTTTCAGCAAAGACTACTCCTACTACACCATTCTCTGCAGTGGTCCCAATCCCACGTATTCCCGCATTTATAGTGCTTCTACTCAGGCGTTGGTGAGCGACTGGGAACCCAACACAGCCTATCGCGTGAAGCTGGAGGCAAAACTGCGGCCCAGCTATCGTTTCCTGAACGTCACTCTGGCCGATGGTAGCATCGGTTATGCCAAACTTGCTCTGCCACCCAATTTCGATGAGTCCAAGAAATATCCACTACTTGTACTCGTGTATGGTGGACCGAATTCGGTGCGCGTGGACAATAGCTTTTTGGTGGGCTTCGAAGCTTTTATGACGACCACGCGTGAGGTCATCTATGCATATATTGATGGACGTGGAACTGGCCAGAAGGGCAAAAAGTTGCTCTTCACTGTGAACAATGATCTGGGCGATCACGAGGTGGAGGATCAAATCTTTGTCACCGAATGGATGCAGAACAATCTCACGTTTATCGATCCTAACCGCACCGCCATTTGGGGCTGGAGTTATGGCGGATATATGACCGCTAAAACCATAGAACAAGATGATAAGCACGTCTTCCAGTGTGGTGTTTCTGTGGCGCCCGTTACATCATGGTTGTTTTATGGTATGTGTTTTGTGACGTCACTTTATGTAAATAAATATACAATTTGTGGGAATTTTGAAAAGCATTTAAAAGTAGGGTCCATTACTTAGGGGAAATATATTAAACAAACTTGATCTACCCGGCTATATTCTGTCAAAGAGTTTAGACTCTCTAGCTCTGTCAGGCCTTAAAAGCAAAGCGTTCATACAGACAAACAAACAGAAGAATCTGCAATATTGAAAACACAGCTCTTCTTTTCAATATAAGTATGTTCAACTCGACTTATTTTTAATGCCCATTACATTAGCAGTAATATCTAAAGTTAAAACAACCATTTTCTTCAATCACATCAATATTTTCTTTGATAACAGATACCATCTATACGGAGCGCTATATGGGTCTGCCCACCGTGGATGATAATCTGAAGAACTATAACATTAGCAGCGTGTTTAATCGCCTGCAAAACTTTAGGACACACGACTATCTGCTCATTCATGGATCTGGCGACGATAATGTCCACTATCAGAACTCGTTGGTCTTTTCGAAGCTACTCCAGCATGCGGACATACAATTCGAGGAACAGGTACTAGTTTTGAAAAAGATGGTGAGCAACTGAGCAATAATTCCAATGTTATTTTTAGACCTATACCGATGAGAATCACAGTATTGGCAACGCAGCTCCTCATCTGTACCTAACCATTGATGATTTCTTGAATAGGTGCCTAAAAATAAATGTCAACTCCTGAAGGACGTAATTCTGTCAATTAAAGACTTTTTCATAGTTTTCGTTTATCAAAAAGACTAAATATTATGTTTTTCTTGTAAATAAATGCGTATTTTCTTTTACATTTTACATTTATTTTGGAAAAAATTGGGCTAACTTATAAGTCAACAATTTCCTGAAAAAAGTCCATACATTTCTGTGAAGAAATAAATAATTCAAAAGGAGGTTAATAAATTAAAATATTAATAATAAATTATATAGTTAATTGTTTTTTGGAAAATATGTGTGTCGTAAACGTATCGAGATTTCATTAGACTTGCGTATTTGGTTGCAATGTTGATTGAAAAAAAATGTATACTATTTTTAGCCAGTATTCGAAATATTTATTTAAAATTTTTTTAACTAGTTTGCAGCTAAATAGTACAATGGGTTCCAATTGCAAAATTGGACATAAAGTATTTATTTATTTATTAAATGTTTCCATGCGATGTGAAAGCGGCATAATCGACATCGAAAAAGTATTTTCAAATGCATACTTGTCAGGGAATCTGTACAAAAATTTGACCCGCTGAAGAATGGAAATGAGATTTTATGTTGGAATAACTCTATGTACATATTATGTTGATAACTCAGAGGCCATATTGCGTTAACAAAATCATCAAAATGGGTCACAAGCTCACAATGTAAGTCCTTTTAGAGAGTATACACTAGCAATGTGTTTTTACGGTCAATTTTCCATGCTGAATATCTTCATTTAACCACGTTAAGGTTCAGAAAAAACAGCTGCAATAAAAACTTCCAACCGTTTGCCAGCTTAGAAGAAAAGTCCATGTATGACAGAGCAGCCAATCGATTGAGTAAGCATAAAATGTCATGGCATTTGAAAAGCTAAAGCCACAAAAAGATGCACTTGACTAGCTGCACGGAGAGAGAGAGAGAGAGAGAGAGAAACAAGAAAACATAGAAAGAGTGCTAGTTCAGGGGTGACGAATAGAGCATACTCTTAAAAATAAGGGAAGGAATGAATATATAGGAAACATATTAAGTAGTAAATTATTTACGTATTTTAAATAAACAAATTAGAATAACCAAGCTATATTCCTCCTTAAGCTGTGTTTTTAACATTTAAATTGGAAGCACTTAAAAATATATTTAACAAATTCATGCTGCATAGTGCGAGTTGACTTCAAGGCTGGACCCAGATGCTCGCTGAAGAAGATAAAGGAATTGCTGACAGGCTCGGATCTGAAACAGGCTGGCCTCAGCGGTATTTAAAATGGTATTATGTAGGAAAGTGTTCATATCCTCTTTAGAATACTTTGAATTCAACCAGTAAGAGTCTTTCTTTAAAGCCTTAACAACTGTTTCTTGAAAGCTGCAATGCCTTCGATGCATGAGTAAGTATAATGCATAAGTATAATGTTCTTAAAAACCTTTTCTTCTCGGCAAACTGTTTCTATACACACAACTACTATATGTCCATAGTAAAGAGCTAATCTGCTTTGAGCTGTCAGTTAGCAATAAAAATACAAATATTACTTATCCGCAATGTATTCTAAAACTATATATTGTATAGGTAATCACATCTCGTGGCATTGTGAATAAAGTTTGGCAACTTGCAACGTGTTGTATATTTTTGTCTTTTCGAGGAAAACTAGCAGCTTCGTTAATGCACTTTATGCACAAATCCAAAAGCCATTTGTAACAAAGAAGGGATTTGGATGAAAGATAAAGCACTATATACTCGTACACACTTCTGTGTGCGGGAATTTTTGCAGCTCTTTTGATGTGCAACACGTTTCCAATATTGATGTCGCTGGGGATAAAGCTGCGTCTCACTTTGACAGATTGGCGGTTGCATCTCTATTTTTGTGATGGATTATAGACTAACAAAAGGGTAGAGATAGCGATTTGGGTTGTTCTTCTTCTGCTTTTTTTCCGCTGTCGTATTTTGAAGGCGATTAGATTTTAACGTTGGATAAGAGTTGCATTGTTTTTGATGTAAGCTTGAATTAGAAGCTTATTTTCATCAGGCAGTGTGTAAATAAATGGTTTTTGTTACGCAAATCATAGATAGAAATATATTAGACAATGGAATTTTGAAAAAATGTTTTTATTGTCCGTTTTATGAAGCATGCTATTAATTGATAGCTTATTGTTGGGAACTAAAGGAGAAAGGAAGTTATTTTAAATACTTTTTTCTCTGCCGTGCAATTTTCAAACTAGACTGATTACTTTAAAAATGGGGCTTACATTTTTCATAATTTTTGTAAATTTTATTTTAATATACAGGGTCCGCCATCTTTTATGTCGGTATGTGAACATTGAATATCTTTGAAAATAAAAAACCGATTTTCAAGTATGAGGTATTTTTATTTAATTTGGTTCTGTAAAATTTCTTCAACTGAGGTTTTCAACACTGGTCTACTGAAGTCAATCGGTTCACTAATGACAAAGTTATTCTATATTTACATACCGACATAAAAGATGGCGCACCCTGTGAAATAATATAAAGTTTTAAAAATCAACATTTTAAATTAAAAACTTATAAGAGAAAGCTTTGTCATATAGGTTTTTAATTTAAAATGTTTGCTCACAGATCTATGAACGCCTCTGAAAACAATTGGCTGTGATTCGAGGCATAGCTTGTTGATTGGCAAATAATAATAACTCCCTCATTGAGTCGTAGGATTAGACTTGTCTTTTTTAAGTTTTTTTTAGCTTATAAGGCTTTATCAAAACGTTGTTTAGTATCACCTCTGCCGACAGCTAGTGTTTGTCCACATAAAATAAAATGAAATAAAAAAAGACGTCACAATTTCCTGCCCTGGGCATTGGTTCAACTAAATACAACTTAATTTATAGCTTTACATGATTTTAATATCGGAGCATATATTCCTGCTACAACTTCGCAGAACCCCATGTGTGTGTGCCAGAAAATAAATAGGCATGGCCGGCTCGTATTAATCAGACACATAATGAACAATTTCGAACGGCGCCGCAAATTGCGACATGCAGCGAGCATTTACACGCATTGATTGTGGCATTCCAGCGAAGCGTCCGAAATGAAATTAAAGAACTATAAACAATTTAATAACCCTACATTTCTGTTCACTTGCAACCGCCAATCCAACAAAGCTCCAAAGTATGCAAGAGTTATAATAAAAGTGCAAACATACGAGTTCACAATGCACGTCGCCTGCAGATTCCCCTCCCTCTGCTCTCGCTACTCGCGTTTTTTGTTGTTGTTGTTGTAAATTATGGTTGCGGTGACAGCTGTGAGTTGTGGCAGATAATGTCACTGTGCTACAGTTGTTGTTGGTGTTATTGTTGCTGCTGTTGTTGTTGTTGCCAGCTGGGGCTCGCAGTGATTAACGTCAGCCCCAATGGCAACTCCCTGAATATTGTGCGAAAATTTGTGCAAAAGGAAGCCTGAAATTTCAACGGCACAGCTTTAACTCTGTTAAGAAGCAAGCACTGTGGACTGACCGACTGACCTGTGGCAATGATGGTGTTGTTGTTGCTGTTGTTGTTATTATTCCTGGTGTACCACGTTAATAATGCCACACGTATACACAACACTGCGCCCAGCGCACACTGTATAGAGCAGAGGAGCAGCGATGCATAACTGACAGGCTTCGAAACATACTCGTACTAGAGAGGATATTTGTGGCTGAGAGACTACCGGTCGTGAGTGACGAAAAGGGCTATTCTCCCTCGATATAAAGTGTATTTTTGGTTGAACTTTGAATATAAATGTGAATTATTTCTTTCTAGCATTGACTGCTCTAAAGAGTTAACGAATTCCGAAACGAATTTGAACTATTTAAATTGTTTACTATTTTATTTATTTTATTTTAATATTTTTATACTTTTGCGTCATGACAGAATAAAAATGCATGTATACAAGTATATAATAATTTTAATAATTGTCGTGCCTAGGACAGATCTTAAATAAAAATCAAAGCGAACAAAATTTGTTTATTATTCAACATCCACTGTAAAGTGACAAAATCGGACTATGAATGTAGTTAGCGTCTAAAAACTAACAATTTATAGAACTGTATTTAATTAAAAATAAATCTTTTTATTTGTCCTGTTTATATAAAATCTGTCCCCAAGGGAGCAATCAGTAATTATTATAATAATAGCTGCATAGTTTCAATGTTTATGTTTTAAAAAATGGAATTGAAAATAGTGTTTTTCTGCTTTTATCTATTTAGGAAGCTACTTGCCATAAGAATCTAGCTCCTCCCGAAGCATTTATGAGGCCTCGTTGGTGCATCTAGATGTAGCCAGGAGTGCAGTATGGACGAATTATTTAAATATCATCGGCATGTATATATCATATCATACTAGTGTTGGCCACCGCTTTGAAGGACTGAATTGGTTATATTTCTTCACATCGAACATAGAAGAATCTTAGTATGAAATCCACTACCTTTGTATTTCAATATATTTAACAAATACTCTTAAAACCCTTTGTTGTCACGCACCCTTCCCTAATACTCATTCGCACATAGCCCAGGCCCACAATCCTCATGTGTTACAGCATACAAAAAAAAATTGTGGAGAACACATGAAAATTTTCAGTGTTGGCATGAAGTGGCTTTGTTCTCCGCTCTGCCCCGCAGTCTATGCGATTTAACAGATTGAAAAACAAGTTTCGAAAAAAATAAAACGCAAAATCAACAGAAGTGAAAAAACTCGTGTGTGTGAGGTGGCACGGCAACATAAAAAATAACAAAAGATTTATGAGGGTCCTCCCGGAATGCTGGCTGACTATGTAACCGTTTTCAGTGGGTGTTGGGCACTTTGCACTTCAAGTTTTGCCATTCATCGAGTTATCAGGATAAATTTGAAAGTTACATACATGGCACCCATTGCACATACTATACTTCATGTTGTGCTTTATGCAATTCCCTTGTTCTCAAGCTTTAAAATAATGCACGAAATATATTGCTGATCCTTATGTCTGTTGTACATGCTTAGCTTCATCTCTCTTTCGACAGCTTTGTGGAAACAGAAAAGGGTTTACAAATAAATATTAGCTGTCCTCTGGAAAATTAATATTAAGTGGTGATGGTTTTTATGTTCATTCAAATGTAAATAACTGCATGAA